TGTCCGAATATAACAATGAAACTAAAATTTATGTACATATATAATTTTGACTCAGAATGTACCGAAGCATTATTTACGTGTTTTTCACGTATATTGGGAGGCGTGTTCTAGATGATTTCGTTGGGAGTTATTGAAAACCTAGCGTGCACGTCGTAATGTTGATAATTATGACGTCATATGGGGGGGGGGTTACTATGATTCATGATATTCCCGTACACGTATATTAAGTGAGGCTGGCTAGAAAATAAAATTCAATTATATACATTTCGATAATTAGATTCGTTTAAGCATGATTTACACAAGAAAAATCACAGAAAAGACAAGGGCTTTGGCACTTTATTATAGAAAGGAATCGGGTTTTCCGAATAGGGAGATCGCGAGAAAATGTCATATAAGCCCTTCATCAGTAGCAAGAATATAGAGGGAAGACCAACAACCAGCTGCGCTGAGATCTAAACAGTCGAGAGGCAACAAGGTCGCCCAAGAAAAGTTGACGAGCGCTCGTAATTGTCGCTATTTTGAAAGGATGGGAAAGGTGTGGTTCTCAAAGTTCCCTATGAGAAAATGAATGGCAATTTCTTTGCAGAGTTCATTGGAAAGCATTTTAATACTTGTTTCGCAAAGTGCGGACGTAACAAAATGATCGTCACCTGTTTCTCATGGATAATGACCAATCACAAACGAGTAAAGCAGCGCGAAAAGCAATGGAAAAAATCGAGGCTGAATTTCACAAGATTCTGGCTAGATCGCCTGACCTGAAGCCGATTGAAAATGTCTTTCACTTGGTAAAGAAAAGTCTCGAGAATGAAGCAATTGCTAATAATATAACGCACGAAACGTTCCAAGACTTTTCAGCGCGGGTTTTAAAATCCTTGGAAAATCTGTCAACCGATGTAATCGATCGTACTATTTCAAGCCTGTCAAGTCGAGTAGATGCTGTTCTTAAAGCAAGAGGAAATCGCATAAAATACTAGGAGTTCTATCTTTTACTGTTATATATGGTAATTCAAGGCAGAGTAAGGGCAGTATAGATCAAAATAGGTGTAGCCATTTTCGCAAATAGGCAATTAGCTTGCTGTCAACAAGTAGATTAAATGCTAAGTACAATTACACGTCTTCACAGCGTGACTCCAATGGTGCAGCAACGCAAAATTACAAACAGTGTTCCCTTGATATTTCCTAATTATTTGCCAAGGATGCAGAAATTTTTGTTTTCGGATACACAAAGTGGTTTGCATTACTTGAATAAATGCATTTATTCATTATAAAATCTTATTTAGGTCATTATTGCTAAATTAAGAACAGTACTCCACAAACCTAGCTTAAATTCCTAGACTATCTCACTGAATTCTTTAGGAAAATGGGGAGCACTGTTCAAAATCATGCAAGATATAGTTATAATTTATTTATTTCGAAGCAAATACGTTGACCATTAAATATCATTATCAAAGATCGTTATATTATTTGCAAATATTAAAATTTAATAGATTTACAATGAATTTTTTGATGGAGTAATGTATGGACCTATGACTTTATGTTATGCATATCTGGGCGTGAAACATTATAGGTTGTAAGTGCTTATTACGTCAATGACTAATGCGATTTAGTTATAACTTGTAATCTAAAACAAACTTAGCAAAGCAATGTCTACAAGGTATTCACTCGTCAAATGTAACTTGTGAAATATATACAAGACCACAAATTACGGCTTAAATACTTGTTTCCATCTGATTATATTTTTCAAAATGTGCACATGCCCATAATGTTGTTAGATTAAGTACGATTAAAGTGAAAATTCTAAAAATGGATATATGTATGAAATAGCGTACTTTAATATGTCATTATTATTATATTTTATTATTATTATATTATAAATGTTTATTATATATGTAGACGCACGTTATTAATACGCAAAACATTATTAAAGGTTCACTAACGATTCAAGGATTAAGGCCGATGTATTTTGATGAAATAAAAATAAAAATGTAAGATAATGCACATTCAGACAATCCTGGTCAAAAATTCTTGGCGCACTTAGTCCAAATAGCATAACCTTTACTTCATTTCTGATTACCATATAAATACTTGCCCATTTTATGCAAAATTTCATGTCCAAACTCCCCCTATCCCCCTTATCAATGTTGTGTAACACCTTGGACGTATAACACACTACAGACAACATTGAACGGGGGAAAGGGGGGTTGCTATGCTTGTTATTGAAGTGGGAGTCAAATTTCGCACAGTCAGTGTCAAGCGCGCCAATATTTTTGAGCAGGATTGTAGAAGCGGTCATCTCATTGGACGATTCTAAATGTAATTGACGTTTCAGCAAGAATACTGGCAAAGGATTGGATAATTTTGATATCTGACGTCACTCTCCTGCATGTGATATTGCTCAAAACCAAATACAGTACCGTTTCGTTCCTGCGGGGAACGAAACAAAAACACAAAAACCTGAGTAAAAGTACTAACCTCGACTTCGTCTCGGCGAATATTCCCCGATAATTACTTCGGCGAATAATTGTTAACATCGTGACAGACGAAAATTGTGATAGTCCAATCCTAATATTATCTACATTGTACTTACTTCACCAAATTCACAGAAAGTTCCATCGTCTTTACGAATATCGTGTTCTTTCAAATAAACAATAGCATCAGCGTAGTTCATTCGCCTGAGGGTGAAATAGGGTTTATCAAACATATACATACAGTCGAACCTTTTATCATAGACAATCAAAGGAATGGACTGGAAACGCTAGGCAAAACGCTATGATGCGAACGCGGCATCCGTGATACGGGCTAGCACATATCAATTCATCAGTTACCGTGGCAACTGGCCTGTAAAAAAGTTTAAAAAATGTAGATTTTGCATATATTTTTTCCCTTTTTTTTAACAAACGCAAAGGTAAAAGATACTTTTTGGCGGTACCAAAAGCAGAGAATATATGCCAAGGTGAGTACGTGTATATTTTTAATTTCCCTATAAAAACAATCATTATAAGTTCGGTTTTTCACAACGTTGACAAGACAATTACGCACGTATATCACATCTTTCCTTGTGTGGTTATATTTCGAACCCTGGAACTTGGCGACAAAGCTTTCACTTGTCTGCTAAGGCATATAGTTATACTCTCATATACTGTATAATGTTGATTCCACTAGGACGTTCACAAATCCCTGCGATATACAAATTTTGTAATAAATATATTTCTTAACAGCTCACCTTGCGCGACTACGAAAAGATGTCAATTTTTGTTGTTCTAAATCCGAACCCTGTAACTACAGTTTTAAAAGAGTTTAGGATTTTAAGGTTACATATTTTGAACAAGAATAGACTAATGAGTTCCACTACCGCTTTTTTAAACTTCTTTTTGGCAAAACAAACTCAAAAATCAATATTGAATGCGTGTGCACTGTCTTTGAAAACACAAATGTCGCTATTTTTGTTGTTCGAGTATACACTTACTTCGAACCCTGTAACTACAGTTTTAAAAGAGTTTGGGATTTGAAGGTTACATCTTTTGAACAAGAATAGACTAATGAGTTCCACTATCGCTTTTTTAAACTTCTTTTTGCGTTAATAAGGCTAAAAATAATCAATTACTGTGTGCATACTATTTTTGACAAGTCTGACAACACAAATGTCGCCAGATTTGTTTGCGAAGTATGCACTTCATATTTCGAATCCTACAACTAGTTAGGTTTTTAAAATTACCTATTTTGAACAAGCACGAGTTCCACTACCGTTCTTTACTTCTTTTTTGGTCAAACAAACCCAAAAATCATCATTGAATGCGTGCGTACTGTTTTTGACAACACAAATGTCGCCATTGCCCTGGTGTTTATGTGCATAGGTACATACTGTATTAATATACTTCCAATAAAGTTCAAACGATTTTTACTTTAACTTGACACCTCTTATTCAAATTAAACTTTAACTAAGTCGAAATATGTGACTCTAAAATCCTAAACTGTTTTAAAACTGTATTTACAGGGTTCGAAGTAAGTATATACTCGAAAAACAAAAATAGCGACATTTGTGTTTTCAAAGACAGTGCACATGCATTCAATATTGATTTTTGAGTTTGTTATGCCAAAAAGAAGTTTAAAAAAGCGATAGTGGAACTCATTAGTCTATTCTTGTTCAAAATATGTAACCTTCAAATCCCAAACTCTTTTAAAACTGTAGTTACAGGGTTCGAAGTAAGTGGATACTCGAACAACAAAAATAGCGACATTTGTCTTTTCAAAGACAGTGCACACGCATTCAATATTGATTTTTGAGTTTGTTTTGCCAAAAAGAAGTTTAAAAAAGCGATAGTGGTACTCATTAGTCTATTCTTGTTCAAAATGTGTAACCTTAAAATCCCAAACTCTTTTAAAACTGTAGTTACAGGGTTCAGATTTAGAACAACAAAAATTGACATCTTTTCGTAGTCGCGCAAGGTGAGCTGTTAAGAAATATATTTATTACAAAATTTGTATATCGCAGGGATTTGTGAACGTCCTAGTGGAATCAACATTATATATGAGAGTATAACTATATGCCTTAGCAGACAAGCGAAAGCTTTGTCGCCAAGTTCCAGGGTTCGAAATATAACCACACATGGAGAGATGTGATATACGTGCGTAATTGTCTTGTCAACGTTGTGAAAAACCGAACTTATAATGATTGTTTTTATAGGGAAAATTAAAAATATACACGTACTCACCTTGGCATATATTATCTGCTTTTGGTACCGCCAAAAAACATCTTTTACCTTTGCGTTTGTTAAAAAAAAAGGGAAAAAATATATGCAAAATCTACATTTTTTAAACTTTTTTACAGGCCAGTTGCCACGGTAACTGATGAATTGATACGTGCTAGCCCGTATCACGGATGCCGCGTTCGCATCATAGCGTTTTGCCTAGCGTTTCCAGTCAATTCCTTTGATTGTCTATGCTTTTATATTACGTATATTTCATTACTTACTTGAAAGGTTTCTTTGGTGGCTGGAATTCCTATAAGAAAAAGAACAACTGCAAGGTTAGCGTGCTTCTACATATATTTCATATTTTACATCAATAAATTGAAGAAATTCTCCATCAATGATTACATACCGGGTTGAGTTCATAGAGCAGATGTTTATAAGGCGACTTCAGAACTCGCTCAACGACATCACAAACCTGCGTAGAACGAAAACATATATGTTCGGACTCCACGTTAACAAACACAACTGAAAAACGGCGATTTGTTACCATTATGCTGTAGTTAATCATTACAATCCTAACCCCAGTTCAATCCAGCGAACTCTTTAAATACGGGAACGATAATTCCAGGTAAACGGCCCTATGATTGGGTGAAGCCAAGATGGCGGCCAGTAGAGTGATCTCTTGCAGGTATAAAACTCGCATGTATTTCGCGTGAGCTTCGCCGACCGCAGGTTCGATTCCTGTCAAAGAGCCTATAGTTCTATTTTTGGCCACTACGCCTGGTTAGGCCTGAAGTGTATGGAAACTTACGTTCGAAAATTTTATCTACAAAAAGCCATTCACTATTCATTTAAAACACGTTTACTTACAAGATCTTCAATTCTATCCAGAAGTTCATCGAACGTAATAAATGGACATTCAGCTTCAACGTGAGTATACCTGAATAAATTAATGTATATACTATATTGTACCAGATATAAAGGATAAATCATCTTCAGTTGTAAACTATAATTTCAATTTTTTCTTTGAGAAGTACTCTTGTTCAAAAGCTCGACATGCTAGTTATGTCCACTTACTCAGATAAATGTCTTCTACTTTTGGATTGTTCAGCTCTGTAGGACTGAGCCACACAGAAGACGTCACCTAATGCTGGCAAAGCAGTTTCCAAATACAGTTGAGATGATTGAGTCAAGTACGCCTAGAAATAAAAAATAAATTAAGTAATAAAAAAAAATTAAGTGTTTTATTTTTAAAATTTGGTAAACTTGACAGTTGTGCATCC